TGTGTGTGTGTGTGTGTCTGTGGGGCTGGGCATTGGACCCAGGGCTTTCACACTGAGCTGCATGCCCAACCCTTTTTATTTTTCATTTAGAGACAGGATCTTAGTAGGTTGTGCAGAGGCAGGGCTTGAACCTGCAATCCTCTTCCAGATGCTGGGATTACAGGTGTGCAGCCCCCCAAAATTGTCTGGAAGCATCTTTAAAGTTGACATGTGCCTGTGACTCAGCCATGCCATGCATGACAGCAGCATCACACGTGTACCCATCTGTGAAGAAGACCGATTAGAAACCCAGACACCCTGGAAACAGCTAGAATTCCATCAATGGCCCAACAGATTAAGCTGCAAAGCAATAGAGCAACCCTACATGAGAGCCACGTGGATGGATCTCAGGGGACAGTCGCTGGGCACAAGCGGGTACCTGCTGTGAGATTCCATTTGCATCGAGTTCAGAACCAAGCAAAGCCAATGCAAGCAGTAAAAGTAAGGCTGTGGATGCCAGGGTTACATAATCTTATTCTTTGATTTACTAATAGCGACACAGTAAGCGCTTCCCTGGCAAGTGCAAGGGTCTGAGTTCAATCCCCGGTTCTGAAAAAAAAAAAAAAAAAAAAAATCGACACAGGCATGTGTCTTATGTATAATCCATGGAGCTGCTCAATATGCTGGAAGCAGGTTTTTTGGTACTGGGAATCAAACTCAGGACCTTGCACTTGCCAGGCAGCTGTTATGCCACTGAACTATACGCCCATCCCTGGGAGCAGTTTTTATGTTTCGATATGCATGTCATGCTGTGCTTCCAACAGCAGTTGGCACTGAAGTGCTAGCTCATCTGAGTGTGTTGGGCAGCCATAGGAGTGTGTCATCATCCTGAAGTGTGGTTACATGTGAGGTGTAACTAGAGTGCCACTCCCAACTCACAGGGAACACGCTGCCCTGCTGCCAGGCTCTGCTGCTGCTTTGCAGGCATCTGGAGAGCTCCGTGCAGGAAGGAGCTCCCCGTCTGGGCCAGGGCCTCCACTGGAGGCAGACACTGGATAGGCTGCATGCTGCATGTCTGTGAAGGATTCTGCAGACTCCTCCTAGGAGCCAGGTGCTCTGCGTCCAGTGTTCTTGTCTCATGCTACCCTAGGAGCTAAGTGTAAGAGACAAAAGCCTCTGAACTTCAGAGAAACTGGTCACCCTGCTCAAGCAGGAGCTATTGGCCAGTAAGAAGAGAAGCCGAGCTTCGGCCTCAAGTCCAAGCTGCACTTGGCCAAGAGCCTCGTATGGCAGTCTTCCTCCCACACATGGAAAAAATGACCTCATACATCAAGTCCATGAGGGATCACCACTGCCTCGCAACACTGAATCCATAGGCCTGGAATAAACCAGCATCCTCCACCCAGCCCAGGCAGAACTGAGCTGGCTCTGTCTCTCTCTTCTACCCACATTGTGGCCTCAACGACTCTTTGTTGTACTAGAGCTGATGCCTCCTGGAGGCCCCAGCACACAGTTCAGCCCAGGCTAAGCAGTCTGGAGTGATTGGTCCTGAGATGTAGGAGAGACAGAGCACTAAGGCATGGCAGAGGTAGCGTGCAGCCTTGTGCCCGGGGAGTGCGCAGCTGCTGAGCCACATCCCCGGCCCGTGCCAGGCTCCGCTGAAACGTGAAATCTCTGCATGCTCGTGGCCAGCAGTTCCTCTTCTGGAAATGAAAGCGATGAGTGGCTGGATGTTCTTGTGCACACATCCCTTTCACCAAAAGCCAGTTTATTAGTGATACCGGGTATGAACTACACAACAAACCACTTGCCCTCATGTAACTGAGGAATCACTATAAAATAACACTTTTTAGTGACTGTGAAAGTTCCTCTCCTCAACTCAGTAGGCAGAGAAATTCAGAAGGCTGATTTTAGCCATTGCTTGAAAACTTAATTGGAAGACAGAATAAACGCTGAATGTATACTGAGATCCAGGCACCATAGGTACTGGTAAATGTACTGAATGCGCCCTTTCTCTTTACCTGGGCTGAAGACCATAACTGATCTCCAATTTCCTTCTGCAAGGAACAACTTATAACCCTACTGTATCCAAATAAGCGTCAGCAAACAGACAGTTATCTGTCTTACACTGGAGCCCAGATATCTCACAAATAAGAGTAAAACCAGCAGAGAAGATCGGCTTACAATGGCATAGCAGAGAACCACGATACATGGCCCACAGCTCGTGTGAGTGCCGATGAGCTGAGTACAACACAGATCCCTTAAAACTTCCACGATTCAACCACGGAAGTGTTTTCTTTTTAAATTCCTGGAAATCTATCACGGGAAAGAGGCAACCACAGGCCAGTGAAATTAACAAAGAAAATAATTTAGTGCCCTTGGTTAACTCAATTTTGGAAAGAACAAGACAGGATAGACGAGCTTTCCAAAGGTGCCAAGATTTGCAGATCTGTAAAAATGCCATTAATCTCGGTCTGTCATTCTTTGTCTTCCCATTCATCTTGGCTATTATTCTCAAAGCCACATCATGAGATGGTTTAAATTAGGAACAAGATTCTGGGAAAGCCGTAGTTCTTCAGAGGAGTGAACTCAGGTTGCTGGGGAAGCCCGAGTGATCCTGTACAGCTTTAAGTGTTCTCCATCTAAATGCCCCTTGGCCATCAAATGTTGGAGTCTTGGTGACTGAGAGGCCTGCACAGGAGCAGCCTGGCGTGCTCCTGAGATTCCCAGGGGTTGTTCTGAACTGCTGTGCCTGCTGACGCTGAGGGTCCTGGCACGTGACAGTCACACATCCTTGTTGTTTAGAAGCTGACAAACCCCATCTGCTCCCAAATTCTGCATGCTAAGCAGCGTCATGGAAAACGGCCAGGGTATGCAGCAGGCAACGCCAGGAACACCAGAATTCAGGCAGTAAGACAACGGTGTGGCCAAATGAATCCCCAGTGGGTTGGGGGCTCATGAGCACCAGCCCACGAACATGGTAGCATTGGACATTCTATTTAACTTGGGCGCAGTGGAGCTGAGGCCTGGTGTAAACATCAGTGGCTCCGCTTCTAGTTTCCTTGAGCCCCAAAGTCAAGCCTCATTAAAAGTTAAGTCTGGCAGGCAACTGCCACAACCAAGAAGGGTAGACTCTAAGAACCGTGGGAATGGCCCAGGGAGCGCGCAGGCTGTGCGCCCAGGCCCCAGCAGCTGCAAGGTTGCTGCAGCCGCCATCGGAGACCCTTTCGTGATGTGGACAGTGATTGTCACTGGCTTGCTTCTCTGTCCGTGTGGCACGTGAGGGCAGCCAGGCTGCCTTCTTCAGCCCAGTGACAGCTGCCTGGAGCCCCTCTAGCGCCTGGCTAGCAGCTGATGAGGATGACAAGAATGAGTACCTGGCCACAACCCTAAGTACACACTAATTCTGTCACCGTGAAACTGACACTGAGTGTTGACAGAAACACACATGGACACATATCTTGAAATGCAGTGGTGTCCACATCAGTATGTGGCTGACAGGGTCACTTGTTCCTGCCCATGCCGACAGCGGGGACACTTCCGCGCCAGAGCAGCAGAGAAGGGGGTCTTCCTGGGATGGCTGCATGTGGGTTCTCTCTTTAAGAAGATATGGGGCCCAGGCCAACCTCTTTCTGCTGCTTGGGGAAGACCTAAGGTTCCCTACCCTGGGATGGTAGCCACAGTGGGTTTCAGGAGACCTAGTTCTTTTCCTTACCAGGAACAAACCTGGCGAGGAATGTGAGGCTCAGGGAGGCTGTGACAAAGTCAGAGCCAATGCCAGGCTGATCTTGCGGCCATATCCTGCTTACAGACACGGAGTCATCACACAGGACACCTGCCTGACCACAGCTACACACAGGCAGGGTTGGGGGCAAAGATGGCGCCAGGGCTCAGGGGGCACTGGGCAGCTCCTGTGGGGTCACCCTCAGGTTCTCCTGCCATGCCACTCCCTAGCCCCATCCAGGGCACCTGTCCCATCCCAGTCCTGCTTCCACATGCAGGACAAAATACAACAGTACTAGAGTCAGAGAGAGAGCTCAGAAGAATAAGCCAGGCAAGTGCAAGGTCCTGAGTTCAATCCTTGGTATTGAAAAAAAAAAAGAAATACAACAGGTACTGGCTGAGCAAGGTGATGCACACCCGAAGCACTGGCTTTGCAAAACCCTGGGGGTGCAATCCCCACAGCATGAGGAAGAGGTGGCCCTGGCCTCGCCTAGCCCAATACCAGGACTCAGGCTAGCCAGGCTGGAGGATTCTGCCCAGTCAGGGATGGCCACGCCCTCAACGCTGAAGAAAGCGCCTCATTGCAGGAAGAAGGGCCACAGTGTGAATGGGGAGACTGTCATGGAGGCTTCTCCCGAGAACCAGAACTCCCGACCAGCTTGTCAAGGCCACGGCTGAGCCACACACTTCAATGGGCATGCACACTTTCACGGTAGAGAAACACACACAAAACAGTCTGACAGAAAGGTAAAGAAGCAAGACGGTTGAACAAATTAGATCAAAGGAGGAATTACTGTTTGACTTGTCACTGTACTACATTTAGAAAAAATTTCCACAGAGAAATATTATTTTTAAAAGTACAACAATTTCTGCCACATGATTTGGGATTTTGGACAAGAATATATTTATTTTTTCATAAAAGTTCTAACAAAAATATATTTTTCCTTAACTTAAAAATAGAGCTTTAGAAAGCAAAATTGAGGTTGTTATAATTCATTACACATCTTACAAATAGCACTGAAAGGAAGACGCCAACACAACGGATTTAACTTCTAAATGCTGAAGTCATCATTTCAGAAGCTTGACTTTGTCCTTTAACAACCGGAAGCTGGGGTTCTTGCTGATTTTCTTGTTGAAGATGACCAGGAGCTCCTCCTCCGACCTGTGGCAGTCATTTGTCACGGTGTAATACTGAGCCAAGACCTTTACAAAAAAAAAAAAGCAGGACCAAATAGGTACACTTGTCCTGGAAATCACCTTAAGTGGTTCTTTGTTTAACTCAGGGGCAGGCACAAAGAAAGAGGAAACCTCCGCACTGCAGGTTACCTAGCGGTCATTATCTTTCCTTCTTTTTTTTTAATTTTGTCTTTTTGAGACAAGGTCTCACTATAAAGCCCAGGCTGGTCTCAAACTCCCAGCGATCCTCCAGCCTCAGCCTCCCGAGCACTGGAACTAGAGGAGTGCGCCACCACGCCCAGCTGTCATCTTTCAAACATAATGAATATTCAGTAAGTAGAGCCTCTCTTCAGTCTTTAAAGCAAGTAGAGTATCTGGGAGCGGCCCCAGCTGACAGCCGTGACAGGACCGGCCCAACTCCTGCCCTAGACTGAGGGGGAAGCAGTCAGCCAGGCAATCACAGACACTCTCTCTCCTAAGGGATCGAGGTTAAAACCAGAGGTGCACGTTAGACATCAGTTCCGTCCAGCCACTCCACACCAGTGCCTGTTCGCACGCCTACCTTCTTCCTCAGCTTCTTGACCGACACTTCATTCTCCGGGGCCTGCCTCAAAACTGCCTTAATGGTTCCCTTCCAGTTGAATTTACCTACAACATAAAGGATTCCACATGAAGGGCACTCTAAAGTGCAACCAACTGAATGACCTGATCCTGAGGCAGGGTGCTGATGACTGTCACACTGCCTGCCTTTGTCCGTCCCAGAACAGGGGTCTCGAGGTACTGCCTACCCTCCCGTTTCTCACAGTGAGAAGTGATGCAGGCACCACAAGTACCACGGCCAGACAGCACCCCATGCCAAGGCCACTTGCGTCTCAGGGACCTAGCACCAGGATGCAGCCGGCGGGGCGGTGCAGGCCCAGCCAGGAGATGGAGAGAACAGAAGTCATTTTGCCTTGGGTGAGAGAGGGGACAATCACCAGGACTTGTCCTGAACGGAGAGGGATCAAGCACCAGGAACTTTGGGAAGGCATCATTCCTCCGTCCTCACGCTAAGCAGAACTAGGTATCTGTCTGAACCTACATGGACAACCACCTTGGGGCAACGTGGAAGGTGTCCAGGATATGTAAGGGTGCTCAAGGCTCAAGTATTCCTTCTGACTGCACAAAAATCTACAATTTCAAAAGAATTTAGTATGTAAAAACGCACTGTGTAAACATGTAGGACAGGGTTATAAGCCAAGGGATTTAACAGAGAGGGTTATAAGCTAAGGATTTAACTCAACCCGGCCTGTCCCGCCCTCCACTGCAGTCTCCCCACTGGGCGTGGGACACAGAGATGAGGACTGGCCACTTCAGCAGGGGCAGCTCTGTGGGAGAGGCTACCTGACGAGGCCACCGGGAGGCTGGGGCCTGGCTTCCTGTAGCATGCAGGCAGCAGCCAATGGGCAGGGCACAGCTGCGCCTGCCTCGCCCTCGGGGAAGCCCTGGAGAGGACAGGAGGCAGGAACTAGAGGACTGGGGCTGCGAGAGGACACAAGGCTGCTGGAAGCCATTCGAGGGTCCTCTCTAGTCCCACAGGCAGCACACTGCTGCAGGCTGGACCTACAGGGTCCCCTCCAAGCCCATGGTGGCTGGGTCCCTGCTTGGCACTGGAGAGCCTTTCAGATGCGAGGCCTGGGGGAGGTCTTCTCAGCACTGAGAGGCACCCTAGAAAGGGAGGGATGGGGGACACAGGCCTCTCTTCTCCCTCCTTCACCTCCTGGACAGGGAATGAACAGCTCCACTCCATCCTGACTCCCACTGCAAGGGGCCACCTCACCACAGCCCAGCCAGACTTCCGACCGCCGCCCCAGATACATCTCTCTCCACAAGCTCTTGGGTACTTGCCACATGACCGAGACACGGATACGTACACCTGCGGCCCAGACGCTCTCTTCCTTACAGACAGGAACACGGCCCTGTGGCCCCACCCACCCCAAGCACTAGCACGCAAGGCCCGCCACATGGCCATCTCTGGCCCCTTCTCCATCTTTTCCAGTGCTGGTGAAATACCTTTAGCAGGGGCCTCCTGGTCTTCTTGTTCTCCGTCCTCAGAGTCTCCTGGGACTGTCACCTTTTTCTTCTTAGAATCCACTTCAACTAAGTATTTAGAAAAATGTAAAACGAACCAGCCAGTCGCTGAGTGAGAGCCTTGTTCAAGCAGCGCACCAGCCCCCTGATCCCCCGGCACCCCAGCACGGAGCCACGTCGCCCGCACCCTAGCCAGGCGTGGCATCGAGGTCACCGCCTGACCGAGTGCAGCTTCTCGGGCCCAGAGCTTCTGCTTGCTGCCCTGCATGGCTCCAGAGCAAGGTCAGACAGGCTCTGGGCCCAGCTCGCAGCATGACGTCTGGTCCCAACCCCAGTGCTCGCTCCACTGTGTACCTTCCGAGTGCTTCCGCTTCCTCTTCCGCGGGGCGGGCTTGCTCTCATCCTTGGTGGCCACAACCTGGTCCTCCTCCGCCGCGTGCTTGCCCTGGCCCTGCTTCTTCTTTCCTTTCTTCCCTGCTGAGCCGTTGGCCTTTAGGGCCTCCTCCCTACCCGCCTCCTGTTGCATCTCTGGCCCCTTCTTATGCTTCTTAGGCTTCTGACTCTTGGAATTGCCTTGGTGATTTTCTAATTTCAGTTCTTTCTTTTCTTTTTTCCTGTTCTTTTGTCGTTCTTCCTTCTTTTCTCTTTTGTTCTTCTTTGCCTGTGTCTGCTCTTCTGCGGGGCCATTTGTGTGAGATGGGGGAAGCTTGGCGGTGACTTCCGCGGGTGGCTTGGCTCCCTGCTCGGGGGGCTGCTGCTCCTGCCCCTTACTTCCAGGCTCCTTAATGAAAAACACCCAAGAAAAGTGTCAATGTCCACTCTCACAGTGGGAACGCGAATGCTCATCTCACTTCACCTACCTACAAAATGCGAGGCTTCGTGACTCACCCTTTAACAGCCTAGGCCCCCAACTGATACAGCAATAAAAATCCACAAGGGAAACTCTTCCCCCAGCCCACACCCCTCTCTGCACCAAGCATATGTTCAGATAGTTTCACTTCATTGGTGAATGAAAGAACGGAAAACCCTCATGCTGCTTAAGACAGATCTGAATCCACTCACCATTCAGATTGCACCTGGATGGGAGAGGAACACAACACTCAGGTGTGGAGACCACCAGGCCGTCTTGCAGGCCTGGGCCCAGGGGACTCGAACAAGCCGCTCACTGCCCACGCACATCCCTCCCCTGTGTCGCACAGCTGGCGTGCAGACAACACAAGGAGGCAGGGCTCAGCATGGTGGGTACTCAGCGCTGTGGCAAAGGGCTCTGGGAAGTACCAAACACCCAGCAGAAGCACAGTTGTCACACCACCTCCCAGATGCTAGGGGACTGTCACAGTGTACAGGGACAGCAACTGGCTGTCGCCAGGTCGGTGTGCAGGCGCAAGGTCTAAGAGCCAGGGCCTTGGGGCGGTGGCTAGGTCCGTGAAGGTGCCATCCTTGGGGGGACTACTGCTGGCCTCTGAAGGACCTCAGGGTAGTCATTATGAAAGGGCAAGCCTCGCCTGTCTTGCCAGGAGCTCTCTTCCAAAAACATCCCCACTGACATCATCTGCTGTGAATACGTCTGGGAGTTGGGGATCCAGCAGAGGCTGAACAGATGAGTTTGCCCAACCCTAGATTTCCAGATTCCAAAACAAGCTAAGTGACCTCCTTTATCTATAAAGCACCAAACTTAAGTATATTTTTCTTATAGCACCAGAAAATAGACTACTATAAAACCAAAGAAAAACTCAAAAGCTCTGTGCACTGGCACAAGACAGGCATCTCACCTACCGTGCTACCTAACTAGGATCAGCACCTCAATGCTGCATGGAACAGTTACTCCAGCACGCTCAGCCCTGTTCCCCACCGCACGCCAAGCCCTGTATCCCAGCAGAGGAGACAGTGGCCGCTCTGGGTGCCAGAAACCTCCAGGCTGTGGCACTTCAGGTCCTGCTCTGTTTGTCACCAGCCAGATGTCCTAGGCAAGCAACCACAGTCTTCTCGGAAAGGACCAATGGCTCCTGGCAGAGTGAGAGACATCCTCACTGCTCAATGCCTGGGACAGCAGCACAGGAAATGGGTATGCAGCTACACTGTTCCAGTTTCCTCAGAAGCTGATCACAGACATCAAACTGTAAAGACTCGGGAAAGAAGACCCAAGGAGAAGCCAGAAATGGGCCCAGAAGGGAGAGGGGGGAGCGGCTGCATGCTCACCCTGCAGTTCTGTATCTCCTGGTGAGATGCCACCACAGTGTGCCACCAGCTGCCCGTTACCGCAGTGCCACCCAGGGCAGCGCTTAGCGGAAGGCTTCACTTTGGCTTGTGGCTCTGGAGGCTCCAGCCACAGTTGCAGGGCCCCACTGCTCTGGGCCTGCAGGGCACACTCCTCAGCGTTGCCAGAAAGCAAGGAGCAGGAGGCGGGGCCAGGACCCTTGCAAGGGCACGAGTGTCCCTGCGAGCCAAGGCCGAGGCCCCACCTCCCAAAGGCGCCTCCCACCTCCCAAGGGTGCCAGCTCAGGGACCGGGCTGCTGCCACAGCCTGCCGGTGCCTCGCTGCCACTCAGCTGAGACCACATCTCCAGGCAGGGCCTTGCCGCTCCCTCCAACCAGCCCTGCCAGAGCTGCCTCAGGAACAAGCAAGCCGACCCTTGCCCACCTTGCCCCTGCTCCACTGTGGCCCTCCCGAGGGACACCGGCCGCCGTGTGCAAACTCCTCGCCAACACAGCGCCCTCCCTTCCTGTCTGCCCCCGCTGCCTGTCTCTGCACAGCTCCTGTCACACTGCTGCTTCGCCCACTGGGATACAGCTCCCCGGGGGCCGAATGATGGCTGCTGACAGGAACACCTGCAGGCCCCAGTGCTACTGTGAAGGAGCCACACAGTGGACCAAACCCCGCCTGATGCCTGGCACAGCTGGGGAGGGAAACGTCGGGGACGTGCAAGGAGCAAGCCATAGAACCCCTGCTCTGTAGGAAGGGTTCACGCATTGGGCTAAGGCACAGGCACAACAGCAAACAACCACAGAGCGGACTCCAAGTCACCTACCTCCAGCCTCACCCTCCCAGGGCACTGGGACTGCAGCTGCACCACCAAGGCCAGCTTATATTATGGGATTTTACTTACTTGCTTACTTTTTCTTATTGAGGTAGTGGGGACTGGTACCTCTGTACTGAGTTAATCCCTGGCCCCTTGTATCTTCAGATAGGGTCTCACTAAGCCACACTACAGTCCTGTCAGCCTCTCAGGGAGTGAGGGTCATGGGCCACACCACCATCTCCAGCTATTTTATGTTTGTTTTTTTTTAAGTGCTCATGACTTCAAAAGATCTCCAGGACCAGCCAGATAGCTGGCTGATCCTTGGAACCAGGAGCCACGCCAGACCTGGCCCCGGGGCACGCTGGGACATCGTTGAGACTGGGCGTCATGGCATGAGCCTGTAATCCCAGCACTTGGGAGACTGAAAACAGGAGGAGCACTCTGAGTGTGATCTGCGTAGTAAGACCCTGTAGACCCTGTACTAAATACGTAAAAAAAAAAAAAAAAGAAAAGAAAAGAAAAAAGAACTCTAAAAGGAATCTTAAATAAGCTTCCAAAGGTCCAACTCGTATGTTCTGCAAGAGGCTGACGCTGGACATGTTGCCAAGATGAACTTTCACTCTGGTCCCAGTTTGCTGCTACATTATTTTCTCTACGAAAATAACTTCCAGTTATTTATGTAAAATAAGGTCAGGCAGCAAAAAGCAGCCCTCAGATGTAGAACTTGGATGCAAGCTCCAGAGGCAGCAAAGTGAAGCAGGTGGGCAACGTAGTTACTCGAATGGAACCAAAAGCGAGCCGAGTGCCAGGCAGGGGTTCTCCGGGAGCACGCAGACCTCCCACAGCCCTCCCCGCTCCACCGAGGACCACCAAGCCACACGTTCTCGTTTGATGTTTCTGCTCGTCACCAGTGCCACTCCTGACACAGATTAGCAACTTGGAGTTCGGAGGAGAAGCCATGTACCTGGAATGACACGCCTGGCAAGCAGCACAGCAGGACTGCAGCCAGGTCTGTCCTAAACCCGAGGCTCTGCCTTCCCAGTGCCCTCGATGTCACACTTCTGAGCTGGTCATTAGCTCAGCTGGTACCAGGATCACACATTGGGATCCAATATGTCTTTCTCTGCACAGTAAGAAAATGTTTTCTCTAGTGCAGTTTATTCTGTCCAAGAAACAAAGGCCCAAAGTGGTTCTTTATAAAGGAAGGCCGTCTTGGCATGGATTTAGCTCAACGGCATAAGCACCTGCATGGCAAGCACAAGGTCCCAAGTCCGATTCTAGGTACCAAAAATAAATACATACATACATAAAAAAGAAGGCTGTCTTGGCCTCCAAACGGCAGACATTTGCTTTTCATTATTACTAATGGTGCCTGCCACACTGCAGATCTAAAACGGGATCTAACTTACACTGCTGCTGGAAGCTTCAGAGAAGATGCTCCACACCTGCTCCAGAATGGATTCACTGTAGACTTTTAAGCTGTTCTTCATCCAGTTCTGTAAGCAGCAAAAGGAAAAAGAATATTGCTCCTTCTGCTGGTACACGCAGCGCAGTCACCGACAGTCCCGGCCTTCCCCCCAAAGCCAATCAAAGGCATACCTGAAATTTCGCCTTTTTCCGGGGCACATTGTCAAAAGCACTAATTTGCTCTAGAAGTTCTTTCACTTTGGGGCTGACATTAGGTTTCTTAATTAACTCATTAATTTTCTACAAAAAAAAAAAAAAAAAAGTAAAACAAAAAAGAACATTGTAAGTTTCATGACTGCCAAACTCAGGGTCTTCCTAGGGCCAAGGGACTCACGCATGTTTGAAGTGCAGATTCTGTATTATGTCTAAGCTTAAAAACACCGAGATCAGCTATTATTCATGATACCCTGGCCAGAACAGTTGGGCAGCGAAAGGAATGCACGGTTTCCTAAGTGGAAAGGCTGAATGAAGTAAAATGATCTCTGCTCACATATGACAGCTATGTAGAAATGTGGTCTCAGACACAGAAAGCCATAACGATTTCATATGAAAAGTACTGGGAAGTTGGAAGACATAAAGCTATCTCTCAAAAATCAAGCTGCACTTTCATACACTAAGAGCAATTCAAAAAGAAAATTATTCCATCTGCAGAAACATCAAATAGAGCAGAGTAAGCTAAGTGTGGCAGCGCGCACTCGCGCGTCCAGCTACTTGGGAGGCTAAGGCCAGAAGAATCGCAGGCGAGCCCAGCTAGCTCCGACACCTCAGCAAGACCCTGTTTCAAAATAAAAGCAAAAAAGGGCTGGGGGCTGGGAATGCAGCTCAGTGAGGTCCTGGGCTCAATCCCAGGACTATGAACAAAACAAAACTCAATAGATTAAGAAATAACATAACCAAAGAGGTGAAAGACTTGTACAGTGAAAACTGCAGAGCACAGTGAAAAGAACTTGAAGAACAACATCCATCCCGAGCTCATGGAATGGAATACTTCATAGAGGTAAGTATCCTATGGATTTAGTGCAATTCCCAGCAAAATTCAGTTTATACAGACATTCTTTGAGAGAATCCATCTAAAATTTATATGGACTCTTCAGGGACTCCAGTCAAAGCTATCTTTTTTTTTTTAATTTTTTTTTAATTTATTTTTATTTATTACATTTATTTATTTTGTGTGTGTGTGTGTGTGGCCAGCTCAGCCCACCAGGGGGCGGGGCTGGCTGGCATGTGGTGCTGGAGGATTGAACCGTGGTCCTTGCGCTTTGCCAAGCTTGTTTCAAGTAGGTGCTTTAGACCACTGAGCCATCTCTCCAGCCCCAGTCAAAGCTATCTTGAAAGGAGAAGAGATCTTAATATCAAAACTTACTACAAAGCTATAATTCAAACAGTGTGACGACAGCCCCATAGAGACATGCATACGGGAGCACAAATGATCCCATGACTTCTGACACGGGCATTAAGTCTAGTCAATGGAAGAAAGGAATATTTTCAACAGACAGTGATGAGAAAAGCACATATTTACATGAAGAAAAATGAAGATGGGCTGGCCAGAGAGCTCAGCAGACTAAAGCCTGCTTAGGCAGATGCAGGGGACCAGGGTTCGGTCCTCGGCATGCTGTGCAGACCCCAGAGCGCTGGGACAGCAACTGAGACTGGGCGTGGTGGTGTGAGCCTATAATCCCAGTGCTTGGGAGGGTGAAAACAGGAGGATCTCTTGGAGTCTGATCGGTGTAGTGAGACCCTGTACACCCTGTACTAAATACATTTTAAAAAATTTTTAAAAAAGGTGAACTCTTACTTCCCACTACATACGAAAATCTTCTCAAAGTGAATCAAAGTTCTCAAAACTTAAGAGGTAACCACAGTATAAATGCTCAGAAGAAAGCACTAACACTATAAACTCTTGTAAATTCAAGACATCAGTTTTTTTACATGACATCAAAAGTACAGGTAACTGAAAATGAAAAATGAATTGGACTACCACCGACACTAGCAACTGAGGGAAAAGCCAACCCATAGGATGGGAAAAAATATTTGTATAGCGTATCTGATAATATACAACGAGCTCCTATAATTCAACATCAGAAACAACTAATTTTAAAATGGGCAAAGAACTAGACACTTCTCCAAAAAAGACACAGAGATGGCTAATTTCATGAAAAGATGCTCAACATGACAAGTCATTAGCCACATGCCCAGCAAGAGAGGAATGGGTAAAAAAAGATGTGTGTTTTTTATACAACAGAGTACTACTCAGCCATAAAGAAGGATAAGCTCAAAATATTTCTAAGTAAATGGATGCTCGTTGAGGCCATACTCTTAAGTGAAATAAACTGGATACACACGTGTAAATTTCACATTGTCTCCCTGGTATAACAGACTGAAAGAGTAAATAAAGACCAAAATGCATAAGTGGTATTGTAAAACAGGAAGAAATTATTAAAAATGAAAGAGGAACTAGGGAAGGAGTAGGTAGAAAGGAAGAAAGAGAAAAGGAAGAGCGGTTGGAGGAAAAAAGAGGATCATGTACAGGTACAAATTCCTCATGACGCATATGATCATTATGTATACCTAAATTACACCAATAGGCAATAAAAAAAATCAGAAGAGGGAAAAAAAAACCCCAGATCATTAGGAAAATAGAAAGCTAAGCCACAAGCAGACACCGTGTCACACCCAGAAGGATGACCATTACTGAGTAAAGGGGAGAGAGAAAATTACAAGCATTCATCAAGGTGTGAAGAAACCGAAGCCCTGTGCATCACTGGTGGGGACAGAAACGCCGCAGCTGCTGCGGACAACAGCAGATTCCCCGAAACATCAGAGGTACTCCACCACACGCAACCTCATTCCTGGGCAGACGCCCAGAAGAACTGAAAGTAGGTATTCAATAATTACATGTAGCACACCCATGCGCACAGGAATGTCTTCCCCAAAAGCTGAAAGTTCAAGCAAACTAAGTGCCCACAGGCAGACAGAGAGATTAACAACATGTGGTCTACACACAAATGGAACGTTTTCTGCCATACAAAGAAAGAGAAATTTTGGTGGATAGCCACCAGTGAGACATGTCATGTGAAATATGCCAGTCACAAAAGGACAGAAAGGGAGTGATTTCGGAGAGGGTCCTCAGCTCGGCAGACACATGGAGATTCCTGCTCAGCGGGTCCAGAACTTCGGCATGGGACGATGAAGTTCTGGACTGGCTGGCAGTGATAGCTGCAGAACAGCATGACTGTGCTTAGAACACAGAAGTCATCATGGGACTAGAGACGAAGCTGAGCATCAGCATAAAATACTATCGAGTTCTAGCAAATAAACAATCAAACAGCAAGAACGTAACAGAGGTAAAAGTAAAACTAGTGACCTAGAGCAACTTTTAAGCAATCCTAGTGAAGGCAGAGGGAGAGCCGTCATTAAGGCTGGAGAACTGTCAGGAGGCAGGAAGGGCGGTCACCAACGAACCCACCCAAGATAAGCGGGAAGTTAGACAAACACAACACAGGAAGATGTTCCTGGACAGCAAAGAAATGAACCTACACATAAGCAGACAGAAAAGAAAGGACGCAGGGTCCAGACAGGGATGAATCAAAGCTCCTAAGGCACTCATGCAGAAAAACAACAACCAAAAAGAGCCAATGACACCCTGGAACTCTTTTACCTCTCAGCTCGACATAGGTTTCATGGCTTCCACCGTTTCTTTGCACATATTTTCATTTCATTCTAGTTAAGTGGGAAACTTAGTTATATTAATGAAAACGTCTAATTTATTCGATTCTGACAACAGATATGATTAGCATGGTTTGATTTATACAGTTCTAGTATCACTAGGAGAAATAGATTAGATAGTTTCTATTTGGCTGAGCAGGCGACAGAAAGCTAGTGAAAATTCTTTTTTTTTTTTTGCCAGTACCAGGAATCGAACTCAGGACCTTGTTGCTTGCTAGGCAGACGCTTATGCCGCTGAGCTATCTCCCTGGCCCAGAGAATTCTCAAATAATTTTAAGAAAAATGTACATGAAACACAAAATGTACCATAACTGTATGAACATTAGAAAATAATTTTTAAAAAGTTTTACTCCAACCTTAGTCTGTCCTAAGCTAGCCACGACATTTCTGGGACTTGTCTGCATGGACGACATTCTCAGATTCTGAGATTTCTAAAGAAATCGGAGGGGAGTCCCGAAGCGAGATGGCCTGGGGAGACGCTACCTGAATCCACGCCTGCTGCTTCACGTCACCTTTGTGGGCTCTGCCTTCGTAGCCTTTGCCGCCGTACTTCTGGTCTTCACTTAGGCACTTCACGTGGTTTTTGTAGTCGTCGCCCCTTGGAGTGATCGGAAGGCCCGGTTAGCTGGCGCACAGGCCGCAGGCTGACCAGGGCACACGCCGGGCCGCTGTCTGCGCTCCTTGGCTGTGCCCGGGCAGCACGGGTGCCTATGCTCGCCTTCTGGCAGGGACTCCATCTGTTCTGCACACAGCACACACCAGGCCTGCTCTACAGAGCTCCTCGGCTCCTAGGCGGGCCCTGAGCGCTCGTGACCCTGGGCCTGTGACCCTGGCAGAGGTGGCCATTACGCATGACAGCTGCCCAGGGCCGCTGTCTCATCCTTTGGTGCAGAAGCCACCATGACCTCCTCCCCTCATGCCTTTAAATATCAGACCATCTCATAAAGCCTTGAGAGAGAACCGCACTAGCTTTAGTGAACAGACCCGGCAAGGCATCTTCCTTAGCCTCCCTCCTCGGATTTGCCCGTGGGGCCAGAACCTCCCGAACGGCTCTGCACCTTCACTGTGGATGGACAACTACGCGGGACTCACCAGAAGTCTTTTCCGCAGTCGATACAAGAAAGGCATTCACAGTTTCTGCAGGCAGACACGTGCTTTTCCACTTGTATCTTCTTCACTGATTCACCACATGCATTGCATGTAAAAAATACCATCTTAGCTAAATCATTAAATATTCTCTATCCAAGATCGGTTTTGACTTGTCCTAAGTAAAACAAAAACAAGAAAAAGATTACTGGTATCATAAGCTGAAACTTCTATTCCCAATAAGTAATTCCGACGGCTTTTTTCATATTAATTTCAACTATAATTTCCCATGAATACAAGAGATTCCAGTGTTGATGAGCAGCCTGTGTAGAACTCCATGACCCATGTAAGTTAAATTCTCCTTAGTGAGACAGGCTAACGTTGACTGAGTGCGTATTTACGCGGTGCCGGGCATTATTCTAAGAAATTTATCCCAATTAACTTACTTAGCCTTCAGAGAAACCCTGTGAGGGAAAAACTATCATTGTTCCAAGTCTACATAGTGCATGCCTGTATCTGGAACTCTGAACAACAACTCTGAAGATAGCAGTATCACAACCATTGTTGATTTCCTGTCATTTTTGTTTTGGAATTCTCTATCGTTTTTATTTAAAAGTAACTGGGACATAGAGAAATTAAGTCACCTGTCCCAGGAAACAGTAATAGAATCAGGATTTAAACCGAACAGATTAGCTGCACTATTTATTTTACTTACTCTAATATCTTTCAGTTCTCCTCCCTCCATTCTCACCATGTATAATAGATATACGTGAAACTAATAAAAAGCATTGTAATTTACGTGTGCACTGAAAACTATTCCAAGTGCCCACATAGAATAAGAAAAGCACCAGGGGAAATTGAGCAAAGTTTAGAAAGTGGAAAAAATAAAAAGACTAAAATCAGTCTGTGTCAGTCAGGCTTGGTACTGAACTGTCCTCCCAGCACTTGGAAGTCTGAGGCAGGAAGATCCCAAGTTCAAGGCAGTCTACACTACACCAGAGACACTGTATCAAAAAACCAAACCAATCCAAAATAAAACTTTCCCATAGGTACTAGAAACGTTCAGAGGGTCGTCACCATGTAGCCACTGTGGTGAGAACGAGGGCTCCCCTCAGCCTCAGGGGACTGCGGTAGATGAGGAACCGTCCGCATAGGATTCTGGTCAAATGAGTCCAAAGACTTGGAACCGGGGGCTTGCCGGTTAGCTCAGCTGTTTCAAGCACCACTTGCACAAAAGCAGTCAGGCGCAAGGGACCATGGCTCGATCTCCAGCTCCACAAGCCACACCACACCTGCTCTTAAGGCAGCCTGAACTAGCCAGAAAAAAAAAAATCCTTCTGCAAAGACCTGGAACCATATCTGGCACCTCCACTGCAAGGGGCTGAGTCTTGGGGACTCACACTCAGGGGTGCTGGGTGTGTGGAGCACTGCCCACAGGAAGCAAGTGTGCATACACGCATGCACATGTGCACGCGCACACACACCCCTTGACACCTCATGGAGTACACACTGGTAATCCCAGCACTCTGGGAGGCCAAGGCAAGCAGACTAAACTTAGGCGACACCCTGTCTTGAAATAAAAAAAAAGAAGGCTGGGATGTGGGATGTAGCAGTGTAAGGACTGCTTTGATCCCCAGCACCAAAAACAAAGCGACACAGCCCCTGTGGGGATGCCACGGTGCTCAGCAAAGCACAGAAGCAGCTAAGTGGCAGAGGAGTCACAGTAACTTTCCGTGCTTACATAATCTCCAGGTTCTAAGAGAACATTGCCATTTTGACATGCTCTGCACTCTAGGTACCTAAAGCACACAGCAAGGCGTGACAACGCTTTGGGCCAGCCCCTTCCTCCCCACTGCGCTAGTGGACCTGACCAGAGCTTGCTTCAGGGCAAGCTTCATCGACGATCCCTGGCATGAGCTCCCTTTAACTGCAGGGAAGCCTCACGCATGAATCGACGACACCCTTTCCTGTGCTCCGTCCAAGCAAAGACCAAGGCTGCACGAGGTCAGCCTCCAATGGAAAGGTTCATGCAGGCGGCCCTGCCTGGTGCACAAGGCCCAGGGAGACACTGCGCTCTCAGAGGCCAGTCTGCGACCCCGGCAGGCCTGGGTTCTCTGGTCGGTCTGCTGGGTCAGAAAGAGCAGGAATGTGTTCAGCCACAGTCTGACCCCAATCCAGAGGAGTGCAAACACGTCGGCTCTGGGCCCTGCTACAGCAACCCTCCTCAGACCTTAACAAAGTCACGTGCCTGGCGCGAGCTCTGGGGCCCACTGACCTCCCCCGGATGCTCCCAGTTCTGCACAAGAAGTGGCAGCTCAGTAAGTGTCCGGCTCGTGGTACAGCCGCTCTATCTGAAAGGAGACAGATGCTGGAACAAGAGCCAATGTCACATCCTCACAGGCTGGAGGTGCACTTTTGCATTTGAACTACAGAAAATCTTTAATTAGTCACCAAGAAAGGGACTGTCACTCTGTGTTGAGTCAAAGTATCTGCTGGAAAATTCCAAAGTACTTCCACAGTGAGATCCAACAGTGGAAGCAGCCCTCCAATTTACATCTGGCTTAGAAATCTACAACCCCCGCCACTGGACACTGTTCTGCTCCCTGACTGGGGAAGAAGAGCAGGGAGGCAAGAAAGGCTGCTGAAGCCCTGGGGTCCAGCTGGGAGGCTTGAAGAGGACAGCCTGTATGGACAGTCAGGAGTGAGGATGGAAGGGTGGCTGCAGACAGAACACCAGCCCAGGAGAGCCGGCGGCGTTGACCATGGTGCCCAGGCCCTGTGCAAGCAAGTCTTGGCCCTTCAAGAGAAGCCACGGTGTGTGAACACCACCCCTCCTCTCGGGCCAGTTCACGCGGTGGATGGCTGCTTCAAGCAGAGCGGGCTTCACACTGCACATAGCCTGGAACAGTTTGCCCACCTGCTCAGCTATGGAGATCAGATCTGTATCAGACCTGTAAGGAGCTTACACGGAGCCTGAGGACAGCTGGCACCAGCCCGAGTGACCTGACTCTGACTCACAGCCGCCCCATCCCCCAGGAAAAACACCTTTCCTTGACATAGTGCACAGGCTGAAGAGCGGCAAGCCCACGCACTCTGCACACAGGGTCCCAAGCCCCGATGTGGGCTCGATAATGTTAGAAATGTAAATGCTGCAAACTTCCAGAAAGGTGCTTCGGCTGCCTGTCTGTCCAATCAGTTGACTGAGCTCTCCTTATATGCCACAGCCAAGAAAAAGCAAAGGGCCAGAAGAACCAAATGCAGGACCCCCAGCTCTCCACAAAGTGACCTCACGTGCACATCGTGACCACATACAGACATCCAGGACAGCTGTTATCCCACCTCCACGGGCTGCAAGGGCAAAGCAAGGCTCAGCAGGTGGAGGGATCTGCCTCGGGCACAGCAAGCGGCTGAGATGTCTGAAAGACACAGCAGCAGCCCCAGTTCCTGGGCTGCCTCCACCTCTACTTGCTGCACCCCTGGCCTTTCCTTGGCCGCTACTCTGAAAGCTGGAGGTCCTCTTCCAAAGGAGGAAAAAGGGAAGGCTCTGCAGTGTGACTTATTTGTAAATATCAGACAAGCATTCATTGTAAAGCCAGCCCACCCCGGGCAAGGAAAACAGCCCTGTAGCCATGTTGCCGGGAAGGCCAACAGGTACTCCACAGCACTCCTGAGCTGGGGGAGGCAGCCAAGGTCAGTCGGGGCTGGGGCCTTGAGAAGGACTGCAGGTGCCTTAGGCTCCTCTTCACAGGACGGTGGCCATGTTCTGTTGGACCTGGACGCAGGGGCAAAGCCTGCAGCCTACATCTGCCAACACCAGAAGGGTCACTAAAAACTCAGTGACCCACGATCATTTAACTTCCTGGAATCTATAATATGTTTAATATTCACTTAAAGCATTTTGTGAGAAGTTAAATAGAATAACGGATGCGGAAGCTTCAAGGTGACCCAACTGCAGAGGCTTCTCTGCGACCAATTAACTGCACCTCCACGCTGTTTTGTGTGCTCCCGGACCCATGCTCCTTTACGTACAACCCTCACTCTACAGATCTCATTTCCTCCAGCCTCCTCTGGCTTCCCACATCAAGAGTGTTTACAGTGTTGTTCCCTGAATATATGCCCTTAAATTTGGTACTATGATTGGAATTTGAGATGAATTTTTAAATCCTTCTCTCTACATTTCTTTTTTTTTTCTCTCTACATTTCTGTATTTTTATTTTTCTTACAAAAAGTCACTACTCTTAAAACATTCTTTCACCTCCACACACTGACCAACACGCCATTACCACCACCATTCCAGCACAGTCCATCTGAGGGGCCGGGCTGGCAACCCCATCACCACAACCAGGGAGCACAAGAACTAAACCAGGCCACTGTCTGGTGAACCCCACATTCTCATCTGTGAAGCCAGCTAAACTAGACCTAAGTACATTCCAGACACAGAATTTGGAGCAGACGTGTTGCGTGCTCCAGCCCAAACCTGCTGTGACCAATAGTGTAATGGCTGATCACAGAGGGGACTGTCCCTTGGTCCTTGCAGAAGCGCTGGGCAGTAGGTGCCCGGATTTCCACTTTAACAGATGGTGTTATGGTTTCTGTCTAGGAAACCCCCAGAGCCTCATGCAGTCATAGGGTGGCTTCTAGAGTTGGTGATTAATTCATGATCCAAGGCTGAGATTATGGGTCTGAGTACTGCCGGGATTACGGGTGTGAGTGCTACACACGGCCCAGGGCAGACAGCCTGAAGGCAACAGAAGGAAATGAAAGGCTTGCTTCTGCCACTGCTGCCCCCTTTTCCCTTTGCTTTGCTCTTTTCTACCATCATGACCAGCTGCCTTCTGCCATGTGCCACTCTGCCATGGGGCCAGCCCAGTATGGACTGAAACCTCCATAAACTGGGAGCTAAATAAACCTTTCCTTCCTTCATTTTGGGTGTCAGGTATTATCCCAGTGAAAAGCAACCGCTACAGATGGCAACCTGCAGCTCCCGGAAGTCAAGCTGCTTCCCAGTTTGTATCCCCGCCCCACTCACCTCGCCTGCCATGCTTTAACCAGAGTCGTTCTAATAACGACCGCATTTCTAACACCAAGCCTGGCACACGGGAGCGGCTCTCAAGGAGTTAGGCTTGCTGAGA